CGTCCCGGGGTCTGTGCCGCCGCGTCCCGCCCGGTGCCCGCCGGACGGGCAGCGCTGTGAAAGCAACAACTACCAGGGATTAGATTTTGTGGTGGGAGTCCTTAGTACGCGCGTGAATCTGTCTTTATATGCGTAAAAATACGGGAATCGGGTCGGCTGGAAAGATACCTCTGTGGAAAGGGTGCAGCGCACCCTCGGTTTCCAAGTACCAGACCCCACGGGGGTACATCACTGGTAACCGTGCTGGAGTCACGTTTTGACATTTTTCATTCGTCTCCTAACAATGCTAAAACCCCGTATTTTATGCATCGCAAATGTTTTCAGTCTAGTGTATGTGGTGGGCAAATAAACTGAATTTGTTCCTCTTTTAAAATTAAAAGGTTATGTTCAGTATGCGGTTCAAAAACTTAAATGATTCAAAAACTCTCATATAGCTGAGATAATTCATGTATATTTATAAATGGAAATTACCCCTATAGCATTAAGTACCGGGTAGCTTGTTTCTCCTAATAACTGGGAGTAATTTCTCTGTTTCCAGAAAAGTACTATATCAGTTTACATGATCAAACAATCTAGTAAAGCAACATCTTTTTGTCCACTACTTGTTTATGGAAACAGTAAAAAAATTGTTACATTTGTATTCTCTGCTGTATATGAAAAAGATTATTGTTAAGTTGCACATTATTTCTTACAGCTTTCAACTGAACGGCTTGTACCAGCTTAGCTATTAGGTCAAATGCTTGGGGGAGTGTTAGAGTTTGTTTTTTCTTTCCTTGGGACAAGTTTTTGTTTTTTCTTTCTGTGTCTGCTGAGGTGAAACCCCTTGAACACTGAAGTTCAAACCAATGAAGGCTGATAGCATAAAGGCTCTTCATAGAACTTGTCAGAACTGAGTTTGCGATATCAGCTGGTTTTAGTACAACAGCAAAATAGTGAAATGTTTGAATCCTGAGATTTTTCACAGAACTGGACTCATCTCCCTTAAGTTTTAAAGAAATACAGCTTCCAAATAAGAAAAGCAAATAAGAATTGAGTAGATCAGGGATACGTAGCAGATACTACAGTGAATTAATTTTGTTCCTTCCGGTGTATCTTCCCCTTATCAAGGGATATTTAATTATTCACATACGTGTTTTCCAACTTAAGACAGATCTCCCGTTAGCTGCATTAAAAAAAAACCCCAACGCAACCCTAGTTTCCTCAGAAACCAGCAGCTCCAATGGAAGATGGGGGTAGGGATGAGACACAGCATAGTAAATCTGGTCATTTTAACAGCACGTATCGTTCCTTTTCTCTCCAGCGATGTACAGCAGTATATGTATCTGCGTGTTCCTTGCTGTGCTCTCAGCGAGCTCTTTCGGACAGCAAACGGTGGGCTCGCACAATGGGAATCCACTGGCTGCTGAGCTTGAGCAGAGCTTGACAGAGCATCACCGGCACGTCCGTGCCCCTTCGTCTGCTGGCCCGCTGAAAGCTGTGCCGCGGCTGGATGGAAGCATCGAGCAAAGAGCTAACATCGGCGCCTTGTTGGCCAAGTATCTCCAGCAAGCCAGAAAAGGTACTGGTTGTAGCTCACTTACTGTGCTACTTCTGCATCAGTGGAATTTCCTGCAGGGATACCTAGGTGTTAAGATAACCCCGTCATCACCTAGCGTGAATTCCTAGGGAAGATAGGATGTAGATTTTGCCTGGTTATTCCTGAAGTAGAGAGCGTTCTCTTATTTACTGCAAAACTCCTCCCAAAAAAGATTTGTACACAGCAGCCACTGACTGAGAGCTGCGTACAGGTAACTGAAGAAATGTAACTTACCTGTCAGGTCACAGTTCAGCTTTTATTTTTAACTTGCTATTTTCATAGCCTTAAAATTATTTTGCTATTATTTTCAGCATGTTGTATCTCAGATAAAATACAGTAATTGCATTGTCTTCAAACATTTCATTTTCAAACTTTTTTAAGCTAGAAGAGCAGGAAAGCTTTTTGAGGATAAATACAGAACAGATAGCTAACTTCACCTCAGCCAGAAATACCTGTACTGGGGAAGTCTTCTGAGTAGTGGATTTTCCATGTATTTGTTCCCAGAGGAAGTTACAAAAGTGTGAAAGCTTTTGAAAGATCAGAATTCACATTTATGAATACAATAACTAAAAGCAGTGATAAGTAAATGCACATTTGCTTCAGAACGTGTCAATTCCTGTTAGGTTTTTGGTCTCAGGCAGCCTGGGAACACCATCTTGCACTTGCTTAAAACCTCCCTGGCACTGTGTGTGTAGCAGGGGCATGAAGCACCGGTAGAGTAGTGGAATTAAAGGGCTCCATTCTTATCACGTGATTTGTTAGTCACTTGAGGAAACAATTGTATTACAAACATGAGCTAGCAAAAGAAAGAGTAAAGCTGTCCCTGTTGACATCTTACAGCGTATGTTTTACAAAGACAGAAGCGCCTGCCCTCTGTGCTACCAGTAAAAGTGATGGATCAAAATCATTGACCACTGAAACTCCTCCCAAGAAAAGATTTTTCCTTTTGAACCGTCTCATCTCCATATTTGTATCTCAAGAGAGTGACGCCATGGGCAGCCTAATTGCTGTGGCCTTTTGACTGCCAGCCTTAACAGAAGCCACTACACAAATCTTGTTTACTTGTGATAGCTTTACTCTAGCCTCTCCCCTGCACTACAGGGATAGAGGACATCTGAGGAGCAAAGAGAGCTTGAGAGGAAGGCAGTAATTAGGATTACCTGGACATACAGACACTGCGAAATTAATTCACTCCCAGCCCCAGACTGTGCTTAGGATAAAATTCACTTTATGTAAGTAAGAGCTTTCTCCTCTCCTGTCTCTCCGCACAACCTTACGCAAATCGTTTCACTCTCTCCTCTTGATAGCCTCACCGCTGACCTCTATGCTAGGCAAAATCCTATTCTTGTTTTTTGATGGCAGTCTGCAATTACGAGATGCTGTGGCATTTTTATGCATTACATATGCAGCCATACAGAGTCATCTGTGTACATGGAACAGAGCCAGATCAGGAACAACAGAAAAAGAACCACTTTTAATATAGCCTGGGAGACTTCATCTCATGTTACAAATTTGCACAAAATCCATTAAGGAACTTCTTTTAGCAGTTCACATAATCTAATGGAAAGAGAATTCAGATACGAAATTCCACAATTCAGCCATATAGTTAAAGCCGTTACTGAATAAGAATGTTATTGCAGGAGTCTACAAAGCAGAATCCTCATTACCTTTCCCCAGCGTAGTCACTGTCATCCACCTACATGGAAAGCGAACTCCTCGTTTATGCAGCCATTATATTCTCTTAAATGTCTGGCTGACATTTCCAAATAGCTTAACCAAATGAAGTGAAAAAAACCACTTTGGATTGAAGACATCTTTTTGGTGAGTATTAATATGAGGGAGAATTTCCTGCATACATGTTAATTGACATATGTAATTAACTGTACAAAGTGACCGTTAGCAGATGATGAGATTCTTGTGACCTGACTAGCCTAGTTGGTCTCTGGGTTGTAGACGTAGTTGCCAGTTACAGAAGAGAAGATTCATAGGGACAAAACAGTATTTACTTAATTTATAACAATATATACAGTGTTCCCATCAAAACATTGTATTCTCATTTGACATAAAGGTTCTGGGCAGTACTTCAGAAGTCTCTGCAGAAGACGCACATCTACTGTATTAGTCGCTTTTAACCTATCTAAACCACAGTACTCACTGGAAAATCTCATCTAGGAAGAAAGACAGTCTGGGCACTTGCTAGCGTTAGCAGTCACCAGTGATGGCTTTTGCCCTTGTGATTAATAGAAAGGCTGACTTTGGACATTATTTCCAGTTAAAACAGTGAGAGAGTTAAATTCTCTAAAGAGTTTAGGGCTAGATGGCAGCCTTGTAGCCAAACAGCTGCAATTTTGAATACGTTTGCTGTATGTTGATTCTGCAGTGTCCACAGGACATCTCTGGTGGTTTGAGGAAAGGTAATTAAGGTGCTGCTAAGGAGTTATTTTTACTGCTTGTGACCCTAGCTTTTAATTAATTTCATCTGCAGTCTTTCAGCATGAGTCTAGTGCTGTGCAGAAGAGATGTTGTAGCTGCCGTGTCAGTGGCCGGCACATTTACTGTGCTCTAAGGAGCCCTTGGCAGCCAGACCACGGCAGCCCAAGGTCACTGCGGGCTCGGGACTCTCTTCAACACCAGCATCCGAGTGATGGCTCTGCGCTGCCTTAGCCCTGCCCAATTATAGTGCCAAGAAGCCATCCTCAGCAATTTAATTACGTATTTTGAATTATGACTATGAATTTCATGGGTTTTGAGCGTTTAACAGTAGACATTCTTTTCTAGAGATAATTAATTTTTTTGTTACTTCGTTTTAATTAAATGTCTAAAACATGGCTGGTTTCTTTTTTTTGGTAGCTTTAACTCTCCTGTCCTTCTGCAACCACTAACAGAACAATGCAGTTGTGCTTGTTTTTAATGGATCATGTTCCTTTCGTTACACCAGGAAAATCTTGAAATATAAAAGCATGGAGTCACCAAGGGTTCTTTCAAAACGCAAGAAACCATAAGCAAGAAAATGGTGTAGATTTGCATTTGTGGGTTTTGATTTGGGCTTCTTTTCCTTTTTCATCAGTTCAAATATTCCCTCAATCTGCATTGAATACTGATACACTGAATCTGTTCCTTCCTCACTCAAGGCTTAAGCTCAATCTAATTACTGGCATATGCCAATTTTGGCTGCTTTTAGGGAGTACAGAGAGAGGTAATTTATCTTTCCCTGCATTTCTAGTTATGTAATGTGATGATGTCAAAACAGAGGATTACAGCCCTTTTTTTTTTTTTTTTAAAGCATGATTTCTCCTCTCAAATAGTTTGTGTCTCTTTGATGCCTTAAGCAAGGAAGAAAGAAAGGATAAGGCAAGATCAGAGATCAGCATCCAACAATTATGAAAGCTTTGGATAAGCAATGAAAACATCACTGACATAGTAATAAGCCCTGTATAATTCCTGCAATAGATATCTCTAGCTGTAAATTCCAGACACAACTTTCTCCATTTCAGGACTACTCACAAGTTCTCCAAAACCCAGGATTCATTACTCTACCCCGCTTGTTACTGAATTTGCACTGCAAGAGCTCTGGTACTTACATTTATGGCCCTTCAAGCAGTACAGGACAGCGGTGGAGTCCTGTCTCAGGGCTGCGCCCGCTCTCCAGCAGTTGTTTTGCATCCAGAGCAACTCTCCCAGTACCGGCCAGCAAGGGGGTGGTCTTGTAGGAAGAGTCAGCAATGGTTTGGACTTTCTCTCTGTAGTGAAATAGAAAGGAAAAAGGAGAAACACACCTATATTCCTCCCTGGCAGCCAGGAGCAGGATGCTCCTGCAGCGGGAGGGAGAAAATGAGCTGTTTACTTTACAATAAAAAACCCAAGCCGCTCTCAGGACGTTACCCATAACCTTTCTATGACGTTTTCCCCAATGACCTGACAGTGGTGTTACACGGTGGGTGTTAAGTCAAACAGGTTCAGCTATTGCAGACGTCCGCTAATGAGTACAAAACAAATCAGAAAATGGATGAGCCTGAAAAATGTGTCCGCTTACCCTCTGCTCTCCCAAACGCTTTTTCTCCAGGTCCCACTGGAAGGCTCTCAGTTATGGGAAACAGGGTACAGAGCATTGACCCTACGCACAGGATAAATGACAGAGACTACATGGGCTGGATGGATTTTGGACGCCGCAGTGCTGAAGAGTACGAGTACTCTTCCTGAAGAACAGCAAACTATAGCAACAGAAAAAAAAAATCACACTCCCATGTCTGTACAGAAAGAGAAGAATTAATTTGTTGTCCTCTTCGAATCGGTGTTTTAAAATATATCATGTATTTGATGTAAATTTGTCTGTAAGACTATACAATGCAATATATACATATGCAGAATTTTCCAGAAAAATGTTTTCTTTCTTTTGTGGTTTCTCATACATTGATATTATATTAAAATGATTTCACTTATCCCTTCTTGTCCTGTCACCGCATGTGGCTGGGTGTCTTACTATAAAGAGAGGCAGGAAAATGCCTTCATCCTGCAGTGTAAATCTGTTCATGTGTTGAGTAGTCAGACAAATGGGACACTTTTCAGAGGAATCTTGTGTCAGTCCCAGTAGCTGTGAACCGTAAGGGGAGCTTGTCCAAATACAAACACAACAGCAGAATACAGCCAGCGAAGGCCAGCTCCCTTCATGGTGAGCCCGCTTGTGAAGGACGGAGTTACGCACGGAGCCCACGCGGTTGTAGTCAGTAGTCAACAGCGCTAGAACTAAAAGAAAAAGAGAAACGACACCAACATGTTTCAGCTTCCTGGCTTTTTTACTTTATGTCATGAACTAAATGTGAAAGTTCTGCTGACGGCTGCGAATCACGGAATAAACAGAGCATTCCCTGCCGTGTGGTGAGCCAAGCGTTCATTTGGGGAGGGGGCGAGGACAGTTCCCTGAACAGAGCAAAAGATGATGCTGAGGGGGAGGAGGGATGGGAGAAGCCTGTCACAGTGTCCCAAATGGAAGCAGGTTGCTCCCGAGCATCGCAGAGACCGCCCGAGTCAGCGATCGTCCGCCAAGCATCGCAGAGGCCGCCCGAGCCAGCGATCGCCCGCCGGCGTGGGGAGAAGGAGGGAGATTGTGCCCAGCCCTTACCTGGCACAAGGCAAGGCAGAGACCCCCATGCTCGCAGCAGGGGAGCGATCGCTGCTTGGGCGTTGGTGAAGCCACCCGTGAGGCTGCTCTGCTTTAACCCAAGGGAAACGGCAGCCTCGGGGATGGAGTCCTGGCAGCTGGGTACGAGCCCCTCAGGTCCAGCAGAGGCTTTGGGCTGAGCAGTGCCCCCCACACACCACCTGGTGCTTGCCTGGGAGGTGAGCTTCCCAGCACTGCCAACTCTCTGACATTTAATTTAGCTTTACTCAAATGCATCTTTATGGAAGTGCAGGTGTAGGGGTTAAATTAACACTGGCAAAATGGCAAATCAATACCTTTTTGCATTTAAAGACAATTTTTTTTTCTCCGTGCACTTGATTCAATTAGTTCTGTTCCTGCTTTATTCATTTCAAAACAGGAGCTGGGCAAATCTCCGTGAACAGAGCAGCTTACTGCAAACTTCAGGTAAATGAGCGGGGAAGAGCCTGTGGCTTTGCCCTTGCAGGGCCGTGCGTACGGCAGCCGTGAAAAGAGGATGGAAGCAGCAACTGCTCCTCGTGGGAGCAAGGGGAAACCCAGGCAGCCCCCCAAGAGCAAGGGAGCCCCCAGGCCCCGGGGAGGGACAGCGTGTAAGAAACCTCAGCTACGCCGGTGGACCTGATCCTGACCAGTCTCACCTGCCTGGTATTTCGTACAGGAGCGCACATGGATCCTGCCCTGCTCTCCCCGGCTTTGCCGCTTCGCCAGCCCCTCTGTCCGTGCCACAGCCAGGCTGGGCCAGGGACACGTCGCAGCCAGACGTTCCCAGCTGCAGCCCAGCTCTGCGCCTTTCAGCCAGCTCCAGTGCAAACCAGGCAGTTCCTCTCCGTGGCCTGGGCAGAGAAATTTGCAAGTCAGACAAAATGGGAACGTCACAATGTCCTAGCAGAGCAGCGAAAGGCTTTTCTGTGTGTTTGATTTTTGTATCCCCCGAGTTCGTTAAAATTCTCTTAAAAAAAAAAAAAAAAAAATCAGGTTGGGGGTTTGTTAAGGATTTAATC